AAAGCAGAAGTGGAACACAAAAACTAAAAGGACTATAAGGAACCAAGGGAACTCACCAAAGCGTGAGAAATGTAAGCATGGACAGTGAAGCACCAACATTAACTATATCACTCTCTACAATAAAATCAACATGCTTTCGCAGTATTAACGTACCATGGGCTTTAAATTTGACCTAAATTAGCGAATGCGAGTAAAGCCTAATGCATAGAACTGTTCCAACAACCAAACTTATCTTGCAATTATGGTAGTGAATAAATGGAATGAGAGATTACCCAGACTTGCTTATTGATCGCCAGCGCACTTGTAACTGCACCCGCAGTAGCTAACACGTATGAGACGCCCAATCGTCTAAAACAAACCGGATGGTAGTGATGCGATGTGAACGGAAGTTTTAGTGCAACCGCATACATACGTTGTAGAAATTGGGGCATCGCCGCTCCGATTTGTGTAATTCACAATTGCGTTGAAAGACTGATTAAACCATTGCCAGAAAATGACAGCTGCAGGAGTCCTTAAACACGGTAACAAAACTGTCAACTAATTCATAAAATGATGTTGCGAAAATAGATATAGGATACAAAACTATGATCCTAAAGGAAAACAGGGAAGACGAATTATTGGTAGGTACCTAAGATCATAAAATTCACCGAGAAAAAATTAAAATCTCAAAAGTGGTAGACGACAAAAGACCTCAGAAAAAGTACTCTACCAGACAAAAGGAATCAATTGTAGTAGGAAAGCATACTTATAAAAGGTTAGAAGGAATCCTGTGATAGTCATATTTCCAGGAACTTGAAAGGCCATGCGACCGAGAATAAACATTTTTTCGCCAGTATCAGGATGGAACGCGGAATCATATGTTTGCTTTGCTTTCCAAAGCCGATCTTCGGTCAGGCCTGGAATCCGCTCCCCGGCCTTATACTTGTAAACAATCGACTTTGCTTCGTCCAACTCCTTACTTGTCTTTAAGCAATTAAGAGGGTTAGTGGTGATAAAAAAGTGTTTTGCACGACCAATGTATGTCGACTGGTCATAGCGGGGTTTGTCAATGTTTATTCCAAGTGGAACCTAAATCAACACCAAAAAAATTATAATAAACAAGCATGAACAAATCACAAGTAAACTGCCAGACAAATTATAAGACATTTATCCAAAAGCGATCCACAACGTACAAAAATCTAAAACTACCAAAAACAAGTTGTCATACATAGTAATGCAAAACTCGGGCAAATCGAAGAAAAATCAAGACCCAATTAATATGGAAGAGAGACAGAAGAAAAAAGCTAATTATCAAGTACTTTGGACAGGAACAGGACCCACGGATATAACCGCAACACACCTCCGACATGACTTGCCGATTAACGAACTAATTGCGCTAAGACGAACCTTGTGAATGTAATTGATGCAATAAAACAAAATTAGTCTGTAGTTCATTGCATAGCAAAACTATAATTTTTGCCTTATTTAATTTACAGATAAAATTATCCGTCGTCCGATTAGATCTGTAACAAGCTTTTGAGCACGTTAAAAGACATTGATGTAGCCAATGGATCTCGGATAGTGGCAGTTAGCGTTCACGCGCTAGCACTTAACCTGTCAGCACTGTAATATATTCTAGTTTGTTTAAGTGGACTTTTATAGGGGAGAGGCGGAAGCAATTGGAAACGTGGATCACGTGCGCGAGGTCGACGAGGAGGCTCCCTGCGTTAGACATCTCCTGCTCACCGCATCTGCATTTTATTCCCCCATCCTTCTTACAGAGATGCCTAATAAACCGTCCGCAACCAACTTCCTCTTAAAGTCTGAGAACTAGGGACCAGAGGGTAGACAGGCCGTAACTACAAGAACAGCCTTTATTTTTAATTTTAACAGCATGGTTTACTTTAGTGGATTCGGGCTGAGTTTAGCATCGTCTTTAGGCTTTCCATAGGTGTTAACATTGTCCTTTCAGTGGGGAGTGTAACCATTCAATACAAAACCCGTTTTGATCGCACATGCAGAACCTTTCTTGGGTAAGTGTTGGGAACTTTTTGAATTAATAACCTCACTTCTTCCTGTACGCTGTATTCAATACCAGATAATGCATTCCGAAGCATGTCTCTTATGAAGGCTGAAGAATACGAGACTGAGAGTATCGAGGGAAATACCACAGGTAGGCACAAAGTATGGCTGAATGCATGTATCTATAGTGAATAGGGAAAGGGTTGAGATGTGGCCAAAAAGCCAGAATTCCAGCCCAAATAAACAAAACAATGTAACGTGCAAATGTTCAAGTAAAAGAGGTTGCAAGCGTTTTTGTCGAAGTTTTGAAGTGATCCTTATTCGAAGCAATGCAATGTGTAGTCTCACCAAACATTTTGCTTTGCTTCGTGCTTCTTTCGTGGTCGTACTATTTGCTATTCTCAAATCCACCAGTATATTACGTTGTTTATTCGTCTACCTGCATAACTGACAGTCATTTGCTATTGACCCTGTTTTAATTTGCTTGGATTGGACCTTCTGGCTAAGCCAAAGCCTAATCTTCTCATCATCGTCCTGAACGCATATGTGCTGTCCTGCTGATAGTCCACTTCCACAAAATTGGAATTCTTAAGACCTTAAAATTAGCCTCTCTAAACTTATTATTAGTTACCAGAAGTCATAAGGCTTGGTTGAATACATTCATTCAAAATGGAAGCACAGACCTTAATGACCTCTCCACCTGCACAAGGGATTCGGCTGCCACGGTGAGCACAACCATTATAAGCTGTCGAGCAGTCGAAGCTTTGCATAATCGCTGTCGTCCTCCTTAATAGAAGATAACAACGTAATCCGTACTGGAATAAATTACCGTTAAGTATTTGAAGCCAAACAAGTTGGAAGGGCCTTGACGTGGCCGTCGATGTGACCACTACTGCAGGCAGTCGAACAAAGAGAGTAATACAGTAGTGAATAGCTTTCCTATTCCATGTTTCTCCTATTGCATATTCGAAGCTTTGTATTTCAGCAGCAGCAACCACAATAGGTGTTTAGGAGAATCGGCTTCCTTTTCACCCCTACTAATACAGTGCGCCAACACTTTTCTTTAGTCAAAAGCGGACATGATGTTAGGACTAAATGAGTACCATTAATACAAAGGAGCTACTAGGGGTAATGGATTTGAGTGAAGAAGGTGTTGTAATACCTTTGCTGTTAAAAATGCGTTTTTGGCGAGAAGAGAGGGAGAGCAATTGGGACGAGATGAAATGTTTGTTTGCTTGTCAGAAACTCAGGATATTTTTAGGTCTGTCGTTTCTGCAGCTGCTATGGTTTTAATGCTGGTATACATCCGAATACTCTGCATCAATTCTATTGGGAATGGTGTAAATTGGAAACCATTTAAGATTCGTCCATAATTTTTGCGAATCCATTTGCTTGGAGATGTCTCCATCACTTTATTTAATTTATCTAAATCAAATGCACCTTTTGAGCAAAATCATAATGTATAATGCTCAGTCGCGAGCAGCTTTTTTGAGATGTGTAAGGACCGCCAAGCTTTATTTTCAACCCCAAAGTTTTTGCAGTGACTAGTGTTGTGCTAGCGTCTGCTTCTCTACTGATATTAAAGATTTTACCATTGAATGGAACAAGCATTTACATCTGCAGCACCACGATGCTTCATTGAGGTCAAAACAGGAAACGGAAAGTTAGTAGAACTTGGACCATTAACGACCAGAGTGCCAGCAAAGACAAAACGACCAAGTGCATTTAACTCTCCCAACAGTATGACCGATCTCCAATTGCAGTCGGGCAATAGTTTTCCTCTCTTCTTATCATAGCTTCAGTCATGTGGAATGTAAAATCAAGATTTTACAACACATTTGCATATGCTTTGTTTTAGATCCTAAGGTGAGACAATGCATTACACATAAGTCAATAATAACCGAGCTTGGTCGTTATCAACGGAGCTAGAAATCAAATTCCTTCGACTTATGTAAGGGCTCCTTCATATTTCCTCCCTCTTATCCGACTACGTCTAGTACAAAAAGTTCGGCTGTTCCGAGACACCTTTATTGAAATCGACAAAATGGCCAAACAATAAAGCATTAATGAGTGTGTGACCTCCGTTGAAATTGGTTTCCTCCTCTTGCCTTCCCAGTGCTAGGATTTTGAGTAGCCTTAGAATATAAACGCTAGGGGAGAGGCAGTTCACAGAAGGAAAAATCTTCAAAACTAGGAACGGTTATCTGCTGCAATAACAGTAGAATTTATGGTAAATTTTGGTTATAGGATCACCCTTTATCCTCATACTAAGCCTTCTTATTCTATTTGCTATGGGACATTTGCAAACATCTCCATTTACTCTTAAGGCTCGCGTGTTACGACCCATGAGTATCTCGACTGGTGACACATCAGTTCACGTACGGATCTTGGCCGCGTACGCTATTAGAAGGCTTCTTAGGTCTCAGCCCCAAATTTTAGGCTGTGCCTTCCGAGGAAAAGCATTTAGTAGTCAATGCCAGCGTAGTTTATTATTTATACTTGTTCATGTCTCGCGTAGTCTAGTAAGAATCCAGCGCTTCAAATTAGAATCTTGACCTTTATAGAAGGATTTTACCATCCTGTGTTGG